TGTGTGTGTGTGTGTGTGTCTGTCTGTCTGTCTAAATGTATGTTGGCATGTGTGTCTGTGGCTCCAGGGAGAAAGGGGGCAAAAGGAAAGAGGAAGCCTGGAGTGTTACCATCTAGTTTTGTCCATCACAAATAGCTGAAATAAACTTAAGAGCATTTCTGTTTGGTTGACTGTGTCTAGCACAAGATAGCAGCTGAGAAATCAGATAGGAATGTGTGCACAGTGAAAGGCAGCAAGCATCATGTGTGGAGTGGATCGGAGGGTTGACACAGGGGATAGAGGATCACCAGGTGACAAGAGGAAGAGAGAAAGTGTATTTAGTCATGGGAAACGATATTTTTGAAGGCTTGTTGCATGGCCAGCAGCAGTGCTCAGTAATGCTTAACATAAAACACTGTAGGAATGGCTGGGGAAATGGGGCTCAGGTGATGAAAATCCTGAGTTCTGTCCCTCAAACAGTAATAAATTCCTGCAGGGTGTGTACCTGTGGCAACAGGCTCATCCTGTCTTACCTTTGTCCGTCTCTGCTCAGATGTTCTCAATATCCACCAATTGAGAGGTTTGACATATTGGTCTAATTTAATATAAAGATAGCAGTTACTGTTAAGTGGGAAGGAAGGGTATTTAAGAGGACACTGACTTTGTAAGTGGTCATTTCATTAGTAATATTTTTATGTGAGAGTAGTACAATGGGAGGGACTCATCATAAAGAGACCCTGCATGTGTAAAGAGTGAAGGAGTTTTGAGAAAGGCTTTTTGACTTGTGTGAAAGGAAGATGAAAAAACCCGGTGGACTTTTTGTCTAACATACCATTGCATCCCCCCAGTGTTCACTGTGTTAGGTGTTCAGGGGTGCTGGTTGAACATAATTGCATAAGACAGAGCTGTAGTGACATGTTTTAAACCTTTTAAAAAATTTATTGATTTTAATGAGGTATATATGACAGCAGAATGCATTTTGATTCATCATACACAATTGCAGCACAACTTTTCATTTCTCTGGTTGTACACGATGTAGTGTCGCACCATATGTGCAGTCATACATGCACCTAGGGTAATGATGTCCATCTCATTCCACCATCTTTCCTGCTGCCATGCCCCTTCCCTCTTCTCCCTCCTCTTTGCCCAATCACAATTTCTCCATTTTCCCCATGACCCTCTGCCATTACAGATCAGCACCCACTTATCAGAGACAACATCTGGCCTTTGGTGTTTTGGGATTGGCTTACTTCACTTACCATGATATTCTCCAACTCCATCCATTTACCTGCAAATGCCATGCTTTTATCCTCTTTTAATGCTGAGTCATATTCCATTGTGTATGTATACCACAGGTTCTTTATCCATTCATTTATTGAAGGGTATCTAGGTTGATTCCACAGTTTAGCCATTGTGAATTGTGCTGCTATAAACATTGATGTGGCTGTGTCCCTGTAGTATACTGTTTTTAAGTTCTTTGGGTATAGTCTGAAGAGGAGAGGGATAGCTGGGTCAAATAGTGATTCCATTCCAAGTTTTCTAGGAATCTCCATACTGCTTTCCAGAGTGGTTACACCCATTTGCAGTCCTACCAGTAATGCATGAGTGTGCCTTTTCCCCCACATCCTTGCCAACCTTATTTGTTGTCTGTATTCTTGATAACTGCCATTCTGACTGGCGTTAGATGAAATCTTATAGTACTTTTGATCTACATTTCTCTAATTACTACAGATGTTGAACATTTTTTCATATATTTGTTGATCAAAAGTATATCTTCTTTTGAGAAGTGTCTGTTCAGCTCTTTACCCCATTTATTGATTGGGTTGTTTTTTTTTTTTTTAATGCTAAGATTTTTTTTAGTTCTTTATATATCCAGGAGATTAGTGCTCTATCTGATATGCCTGTGGCAAAATTTGCTCCCAGAATGTAGGCTCTTTCTTCATCATACTGATTGGTTCTTTTGCTGAGAAGAAGCTTTTTAGTTTGAGTCCATTCCATTTATTAATTGTTGATTTTATTTCTTGTGCTTTAGAAGTCTTGTTAAGAAAGTCAGGGCCTAGGGGCTGGGGATGTGGCTCAAGCAGTAGCGCGCTCACCTGGCGTGCATGCGGCCCGGGTCCGATCCTCAGCACCACATACAAACAAAGATGTTGTATCCTCCGAAAACTGAAAAATAAATATTAAAAAATTCTCCCTCTCCCCCCCTCCCTCTCTCTCAAAAAAAAAAAAAATTCTTGGTGGAAAAAGATAAGTGACCAATTTGGTGCAGACTTTATGGGCGACATTTGATTTCTAATAATGACATTACCAGCCTTTTGAAAAATAGTTTCCCTTTTAATATAGCCATACACACTGTGAAATATGTTACCTTTTTTTGTTTGTTTTTTACACTAGGGATTTAATGCAGAGACACCACTGAGCTCTACACCCCAGCCCTTTTTTTATTTTTATTTCAAGATAGGGTCTACTTGAACTTGCTGTCCTCCTGCTTCATCCTCCTGAGTTGCTGGGGTTACTGGCATGTGTCACCACACTGGTTAAATTACTTTCAATTTAAATGATTTTTGGAAAAAAATTTTTTTTTTACTTTTATACTTTTCCCTTGAGAAAAAAATGGATGATATGATATAGTGTTTTCATATAACAAAACACATATAGATTGCAAGCTAAATGTTATTCATATTTGGGCATTTGGAATGTAAAGAAGATATTTCCTTTAGGTGTCTAATAGAGACAGATAATTATAACTAAAGGGAAGCTAGCAGGCTTGGGGCAATAGTGAAATGATTAGGCAGAGAGTACAGCTGAGGACCCAGGATGGAAAACATGAGGTGCAATGGTATAGGCTTCTCAGAGTTTTTGAATAAGGCTGAACACGTATAATCTGACTGACTAATCTGATGCACACTTGTAATCTAACTGACTTGGGAGACTAAAGCAGAGGATTGCAAGTTCGAGGCCAGCCTGGGCAACTTAACAAGATCCTGTCTCAAATAATCAAAAGGGCTGGGAATGTAGCTCAGTGGTAGATACCCATGGGTTCAATCCCCATTGCCGGAGGGTGGGGGGGGTGGGGAGAATTTTGGAAAGGGGACTGGGTTCATAGCCAGGGAGGAGAGAGAATTTTTTTAAGGGGGCTTGGGTCATGGTAGAGCATTTGCTTAGCATCATGCTCAAGCCCCCAACACTGCAAGTAAAAAAAAAAAGAAATTTTGATATAGATAGAGAACATTACTTCAGGTCCTAAAAAAACTTCCCTCTTATATAAAGAACAAAGGAAGCAGGCTTCTTTGTCAATAATAAAATCTTTGGCAAAGAAATGGTTAACTGATGATATCCCATCATCATATATGTAGAACACTATAAAACTTAAATTAAACAACAAATATACCACTTATGGTCACCTTAAAATATTGTTTTTGGAGTTCTATTGAGAAAAGTAATAGGTGAATAATTAGAGTACTTGAAAAATACATGTATTTCACACATATAAGAAAAATATATTTCATAAATATATGAAAAAATACATAAAGGATATATAAGCTATAGTTAATTTCCAACCCATTCTAATGCACTTTTGTCAATTTCATTGCACTATTTGGAGAATTGAATATTTGGGACATAATGGGTTTTAATAATTTGTAGGAAATTTCTCAAGTAAAAACTGACTAGATTGAGAGGAAAGTACAATTTTAGGAAAGGAAGGTGAATTTTAAATACTTGTTTTCTTCTCTCTTGATTGCTAGAATTTATTCTCTCCGTGAGCCACAGACACCTATTAAGGTGATTGTACTTTCAGAAGCAGAAGAGGAAAGTCTAATACTCAATAAAGGGTATGTTTTTAATTTGTGTCATGAAATGTTTGTTCAGTTGTTTGTTGAGATCATAAATGTAGTTTTAAGAGATTTCAAGATTTTTCAGAGGTGACTTTGCATGCTTTTGGTAATGTGAGAAGTAAGCAAAGGTAGGCAATGTAAATAGGTAACAAGTTATAAATCTGAATGTTGTTGTAACATTATTTTCTTTTCAAGAAAATTCTAAAATGAGTGCAGAAATGGATTTTTCTATTGTAAATTAATAAGAGAATACATTATAAAATAATTACAAAATTGTGAAAAGTGAGTATTGGGTTGGAGATCTTGGCTTCTTTTCATGTTTTCTTACCCACTACAGGCACATGTTCCTGTCTACTTTGACCACTTAAAGGAATGACTCTTTGAACTCACAAATCCCATTCCTCTTGCCTCCTGATAAGTGTTTCTGGCGATTACCATACATACATGATCACACAGGAGCAATATTTCTGAAGTTCCATGTCTCTGTGATGGTCATATCTAATATTTCTTATTTAGTTTTTGTTACTCTTTTATACATAGTTATTCTGTATTTGACAGTTTTAGTATCTGAAGTCCTTGTTCTTCAGTTGCAATCATGTTGCTTTTCTTATTGCTGATCACTGACTGTGAATTTACATTTACTTAATCCTAATATTTGGGATTATTGAGAGCCTAAATTGGGGGTATGTTCCTCCAGAAAAGATTTACAACTGTTTCTGCTGGGAGCCAGGGGTTGTTACTAACCTGGAACCATTAATTCTCTTTGATGGCCCCAGAACTGAAGATTTCAGTTATAAGATGTGAATGTTTCATAGCACCAGCTTAAATTCTAGTGCATCCATCTCCACATTGGCAAATACCTGCCTCTGGGGTTGATCCTGTTATTGGGTCAGGGCATTTTCTCCTGCAACATGTTTCCATAGCTGATCAATTTACTTTCTTTTGAGAGACACATGATCTAGATAAAAGGCAGCAGAGTAAATGCAGTGTTGTCCACAGGTTTGCCCCTGGTATCAACCTACCAATCCTTGCCAGCTGTGGTATCTGGGCATATTTCCCAATTGCATTGAGCTTCATTTTCATGACTGTATTCCATGAGTATAAAAAAATATTACTGGTTATTTCTTAGGTTATTGTACATAATAAATGAAATGCATAAAGAATTGCTTAGCTCCTGGGTGTATACCTGAAGGAAATAAAGTCAGTATATGAATGAGATACCTACATACCTATCTTTATTGCAGCACTATTCACAATATCAAAGCTATGGAATCAGCCTAGGTGCTTGTCAGCAGATGAATGTTTAAAGAAAATATGATGTATGCACATACATGCATAATGGAATATTATTTTGCCATAAAGGAGGAGGAAATCCTGTCATTTGTAGAAAAAGAATTGGAACTGAGGTCATCATGTTAAGCAAAGTAAGCCAGATACAGAAAGACATGTTTCTTCTCATATATGGAAATAAACAAAAAAATGATGTCCTAAAAGTAGAAGAGGAACGATTAGACAAAGGGTAAGGAAGAGAAAAGGGAGAGTTACTGAGGAAAGTAGGAAGGGTGACTACAGTGAAAGCACAGTATTGTGCACATGGGAAAGTGTCACTGTGAAATCCATGAATTTGTACAATTAATATGAGCTAATGTTTATAATAAAAAAGTGCTTGGCATGGGGTTTGCACAGAGTACTCATTCATTGATACCTAATATGATTAGGTATATTACAATATTTATTAAGTGTCAATTAAATTTAACTTAAATTAACTTCTCTGTTCCCTTTCTTTTTTGGTTTTTAATTTAACTCTCCTTTTATTCTAGTGTTTGGAAGAGAGATGTTACTTATAATACCTTCTAATGATGTTGACTTTCTAAACTTTGTGAAATTGTGATTTTAGTTTAACAATATTTATTAACCTTTTATAGAATAAGTCTTTTTGGATAACTATACTTTACTTTAAAATATAATAGCAGCATGATTTTATAATTTGTCCTTCCAGATTATACATGTAACATATCTATTGTAGAAAATTGGGGAAAATAGAGAAAAATATTAGGAAGAAAATAGAAATCTTTTATAATCTCTTATTCCCTAGCTTCATTAGAGCTGCCAAAATGATGCTTTTGATTTAGTTTAGACACTCTACTTCCCTGCTCTCCTCACCCCATTGATTTCCCAGAATCTACCAAGACTTATATGCCTATCACCTGACTCCCTCTCCAGCTTCATTCCTCCCACTGTGCCTTGGCTGTCAGAGCAACAGCCACCTTGTCCTCCTTGACATTCTTCAGATACCAAGCACCTTCTACCTAAGATCTTTTGCATGTGTTTTTTCTCCACCTCAATTGTTCCTTCTCCAGATAACTATAGAGTTGTTCCCTTACTTCCTTCAGACCTTTGCGCAAATATTACCTTTTCAGAGTCCTTCCCAACTACCTAGCCTAAAGTTACATCTCCATCAATATGCTTTTGCCGTATTTTATTTTTATTCATAACATCATTTTCTGAACTTATACTATGTTTATTTCTTTTTTCCCCCCCTTTTCTGTTTTTTAAATTTTTTTTAGTTGTTGATGGACTTTTATTTTCACTTATTTGTATGTGATGCTGAGAATCGAACCCAGTGTCTCAAGCATGCTAGGCAAGCGTGCTACCGCTGAGCTACAACCCCAACCCCTATTATGTTTATTTCTTCTCTGTTTATTGTACATCCCTCACCAGATGGCAGGGCCTTTAATTTTGTTGATGTATTCCCAGAACCTAAAATAGTGCCTGGCAGAGCAAGTGGTTAAATATTTGTAGAATTAATGAATCCTGCTTCTTGGCGACAACTAATCCATGTTTTTATTTATATTTATACATGTATGCATGAATGTTTTTGTTATTTATATATCTGAATTTAAACCATTTAAAATTAAAGCAGCACCAAATAATTTTATGGATTTCATTTTTAAATTTTTTTTTTCATTTTAGGTGGACACAGTACCTTTATTTTATTTACTTATATGTAGTGCTGAGGATCAAACCCAGGGCCTCACACATGCTAGGCGAGTGCTTTCACTGAGCCACAACTCCAGCCCAATTTTATGGCCTTCTTTTTTCACTTAATTTTATGAAATTTTTCCAGTGTTAACATTCTTTATAATCATATTTTTTTGTCTTTTCACTCCATTAAGTCTAAATTTTGTATTTACCCACCTCCTGTTACTAGAGATTTTTTTGTTTTTGTTTCAACAAGTTGTTTTTTCAAATCTCTTTGCAGAAGGGCATATACCGCATCTCTAGGTGAAACCGCAGTTGCATTTGACTTTGGGCCATTGACAGCAGTTCCAAAGAATATATTTGGACAAAAAGGCAAAGATGAAGTAGTGGCATACCCACTGTACATCTTATATGAGAATGGGGAGACTTTCCTTACATATATCAGTCTGTTACATGGGTAAGTTGGGGTGGTAATCTACCTGAAATGAAACTAAGCTTGTGCTGATTGTCATGATTAGATTTGGGAAACATATTTCTGAGTTTGTGGAAATGAGCTCCCTTTAAACATTTGCTTTGCTCATTTTGGAGAAAGAGTTGGTACAGATCATTTGAACTTTCATTTCCTCATTTTTGATTAAGATCTATAGTTTAGAATAAGATACAATTTGCTTATGTTCAAAAGGCTAACTAAAAAAGTATTTATGGTTTATCTTATGTGAACAAGGCACCATGGAAATGATTAGATAATAATCTGGTGTCTTTTGCCCTTTTGTGGAGAAAAAGATAAATATACACTTTTTGGAGAAAAAGATAAATATACACATGAAGAGGTAATTACCCATACCACATTACTGGGACACAGTAAGAATCCAGAGCAAGGAGAGATCATTCTGACTGGAGAAATTAAGAAAATTTTCATGGAGAAAGATTCATGTCATGTGGGATTTAGTCTCATGCAGGATTAAGTGAAGCATCAAGGAAGAGTAAAACCATTTCAGACATAAGGGCAGCATAAAGCACAATGTCAGAACAAGCAAGTTACAAGTTTCGTTCAAGGGTCAACGATTAGACATCTTGGGCTAGAGCAGAAGATTCATGTAAGGAAAGTGTTGCAAAATCAATTGTGTTCTAGGAGTTTGAACAAGGGTGGTGGTAGTTTAAAGGGAGAAATGAAGCATAGTAGGTGCTACAGAGGAGTGATCAATAAGACTTAGTTACAGTTTGGATAAGGAAATGAGCCATTAACAGAAATACTGAGATCAAGAAAGGAAACTATTTTTCAGGGGGAGATTTCTTCTTATAAATGATCAATGTGAGATAGTACTGAATAAAGTGGAAATATTGTATGGATGCTTGGAAAATGTAGAACAGTGAGAGACAATTGAGAAGATGTGAAAGTCATCTGTTAGGTTGAGAGAGTAAATAGAGGATAAGATTTGGGCAAGGTTTGTATCCAAGGCAAATGGGCAAGTGCTGAACATGAGTTTATTTACTTACTTACCAATCAACTTGACATATTTATTCAGGGTGCACCTTGTGGCAGACCATGGAAATACAAGTTTGGAGGCAAGGTCCCTACTGTGTGGTTCCTTGTCTAACAAAAGGGCATTCAACTAAATAACTGTAGTAAAGTGCAGTGTAATGTTGTTACGAGCATCTGATGAAGTAAATGCTTAGTCCTATTATCTTAGAAGACTTTGAGGAAATTGTAATATTAAAGCTTGAACTTGAAGGATTTAGTAGAAGGAATTGGAAGCTGAAGTGATTCCTGGAGAGAGAAGAGGGTACACCAACTGATGAAGATTAGAAAGATGAAAGAGTTTGATGTTGCAGAATGGTGAAGATTTTACTCTTGAGTACATTCCCTTGGCAGAAATGTTCTTTACCTTTCACATATGTTTTTCCTGGGAGGGTTTTTTATGTTGTTGTTTTTGGTTTTTTGTAGTGCTGGAAAGGTAAACCCAGAGCCTGGTATACACCTAGACAAGCACTCTTCCACTGAGTTACACTCCCACCCCATCTTGGGGAGATTTTGTGGTAACATTATCATCCTTCCCTTCTTCCCCTTAATTTTTCCACATCATGATCTACCTAGTGGTGTTAGTCCCAAACTTGTAGTCATCTATATCCTCTTGCATCTAATTGTCCCAAATTTTATTGATTTTATGATAAAAGTTTCTTGAATGTTTACATCCTTATCACCATTTTTTTGTTCCTACTTCAGATGTTTATCTTCTGCCCAGATCATATTCTCTTAAGTAGTTTCCTTTAATCCAATTTTGGACCCTTCCTGTCCTCCTCAGTGTTACCAGATGAGCTTTATAAAATGAAGCTCTGTCACTCCTGACTTACACTTCTAGTGATATACTCACCCAGAAAAACTCTGAATATAAAATCTGTCTGCTTCATAAATCAATTCTAGATATCTGTCTAGCTACTTTTCTGTTGCTTTAGAGCTTTTACTTTGCTTTCTATCATAGTAAGCTAAGTTTCCTCCCTCTTAGTTCCTTGCCTTTCATGTTTCCAGAACTTTGTATAAACTATGTCCCTCCTACCCCCCAAGATAATTTGTTTCCAATTTTTTTACACCTTTTTACCTGACTCATTTCTTTGTACCTTTTTGTTGTTCCATTGTACCCAGTACATCCTTTTTTTTTTTTGGTCACACTTATTACATGGTGTAATAATTCTGGGGTTAAATGTCTGCTTCCCCATCTCAGTCATCAGTTATTGGGTGTACCATCCAGGACTAAATATATATGTTTGTCTAATTAAATAAAACGTGCATCCAGAGCTCTGAAGAGTAGCTGCATCTCAGAAGAAAAGATTTGGGAGTTGTCAGAATATATGGGTAGTTAAAGCAGGCACAATTTAATATGCTACCATGTAAATGTGTATTTTGAAAACAGCAGACCACTGGAGTACAGCAGTATTTAAGAAAGAAATTAGCAAAGGACATTAGAGGGTCAGGGGTGTAGGTTATTGGTAGAATGCTTACCTAGCAATGTACAAGGCCTTGGCTTCTATCTTTATACTGCAAAAAAAAAGGAAAAAGAAAAGAGAAAGAAAGAAAAAATTGTTATAGAGTGTTAAGGTGTCAAGAAGCAGTCCTTGTTAATCAAAGTTAATGTAGCAGAACGTCACTTAAGCCTTTTGGATTTCACAGTGAGAACCATATGGATGATCTTTGCCAGAGTAATTTCAATAGATTGGTAAAAGGGCTACCATAGGCAACTTAGGGTAAAAAAAACCTTTCAATCTCTGCATTATTGGCATTTTGTTCTGTATAATTCTTGGTTGAGGGATGTGGTGATAACACAGCAATAATTCCAGCTACTTAGAAAGTCTGAGCAGGAGTACAAGTTTGACCTAGCTTAGGCAGCTTAGCAAGATCCAGTCTCAAAACAACAACAAAAAAGCCTGGGATGTAGCTCAGTGATAGAGTGCCCCTGGGTTCAATTCCAAGTACCAGGAGAAAAGAAAGAAGTGAATGATTTTTTGTTGTGAGGGGCTGACCTGTGGAGGAATGTCTAGCAGCATCTCTGGCTTCTACCCACAAGATACTAATTTTACACACACAGACCCCTGTTGTGACAATCCAAAGTGCTTTCAGATATTAACAGTATCCCCTCAAGGGCAAAATCAACTCTGGTTAAGAACCACAAGAGTGTTGGAATGTTAGTGGGAAAGTGAAAAAGTGGAGACATTGGGAATATATTATATTGTATATGGTGATTTTATAATATCTGGAGGAAGACCAAGTCAAAGAATGGTTTTAGGGGGATGAGCATATCTATCTTCTGTTAACATTTCCTAAACATGTTTTTATTTTTTCTGTAGCCCTGGGAATATTGGAAAACTGTTGGGTCCATTGCCCATGCATCCTGCTGCTGAAGATAACTATGGTTATGATGCTTGTGCTATACTCTGCTTACCCTGTGTTCCCAACATCTTAGTGATTGCTACTGAATCAGGAATGCTGTATCACTGTGTTGTGCTAGAGGGGGAAGAGGAAGATGACCAAACAGTAAGTGCAGGCTAGTATTGGTCTATTTCAGATCTTTAACACCAGGTATACTTCTTGGCCCAATATGAATATTTAATACATGAGGAATTTTAGCTTATATTTGACACATCTGGTCCTTTGGAAATTAAACACAAATAATTGAAGCATATTAAAAACCTAGACAGATAGAAGTTAGGTTGCACTATTTAGTTGGTCCACCAATTTGCCTATTTATTTTTCTGACCTCTGTATTGCAGTCTCTGGTAGCAAGTAAAGGAACCTTTGAATCACTCAGCTGACTTTTCTATAGACTGACTTATTAACATATAATAATCTTTCTAAAGAAGGATACATTTTTCCTCTCTCTCAAGATCAACACATTCTTAAGAAAGGGGATGGAATTAAGAAGAATTTGAGAGCATTGTTTGATCCAGCTTTTTTCTCCTGTTTTTAATTGTGATTATTTTCAAATGAATATGCAGTATCAAAATTATAGTACTTCTTTTACAGTCAGAAAAGTCCTGGGATTCCAAGGCTGACTTCATTCCTTCTCTGTATGTGTTTGAATGTGTTGAACTAGAACTCGCCCTGAAATTGGCATCTGGAGAGGATGATCCCTTTGATTCTGACTTTTCATGTCCAATTAAACTTCACAAAGGTAAGGAATTCATTAAATGTAGTTCTTTTATTCCATTATATGTATTTATACTAAGTAGTCACAGCCTGTTCACAGGTAATTTATTTGTTTTGTGGTTCCAGCCTTTAACAAAGTTAACTGGGGGGGGCTGGGGATTCTGGCTCAGCGATAACATGGGTGGGACCCAGGTTCGATTCTCAGCACCACGTAAAAATTAAGGCATTGTGTTGTGTCTATCTACACCTAAAAAATAAAAAAATTAAAAAGTTAACTGGGTTCTTTTTTGCCTTTTAGTTACTACACAGTACTCTTTTTCTCCAGTGAATATTAAACAAATGATTCTCAAGTTTTAAGATAGTGTTCCTCAGTATGAATTCATTCAGATGTACAATAGTGACTTTTTCCTGCACCTATAAAAAGTAGATTTTGTGGTCAGTGGGAGAGTGCTAGGGAACAATACTGGCCAAATAATTGTGTGCATGTACAAATATGTAATAACAAATCCCTTCATCGTGTACAACTATAATGCACCAATAAAAAAATGTGGAAAGAGAAAAAAGTGTTATGCAGAACTCCAGTATATAAAACATAAAGATAATATAACATTAACTTATTGTAAATTTAACATTAAGGAAGTATGCTGTTAGTAGGAAATTTTAATTTAGATGCTTATGGATTATTATTGCCATCTTATCCAATTTACTATGTACAAGCTGGGCACTGTGGCACACACCTATAATCTGAGTTGGGGAGGCTGAAACAGGAGGATCCTGAGTTCAAAGACAGCCTCAGCAAAAGCGAAGTGCTAAGCAACTCAGTGAGACCCTGTTTCTAAATAAAATACAAAATAGGGCTGGGGATATGGCTTAGTGCTCCTGAGGTCAATCCCTGGTACATGAAAAAATAAATTTACTATGTACATTATTTATATATTTTGTTATTTCAATATTTTAAAATTCTTAACGACAGAGATAAATATTTACAAATAATAATATATTCAGGAGCTCATCTTTAACTTTTTTTTTAGTTGTAGATGGACACAATACTTTTATTTTATTTATTTATCTTTATTTGGTCCTGAGGATGAAACCCAGGCCCTCACATGAGCTAGGCAAGTGCTCTACCACTGAGCTACAACTCTAACCCTCAGGATTGTCCTAATTGTTACTAGACTCGAAGGCAGTACAGAAAATTTTGGTTCAAAGCCAGTTACATTATCTTAATTAACAATTGCTCCCATTTCTTAGTGTCATAAACTTTGGACCTATCTGTAAATCAACATTATGAAAATACAAAACTTCACTTCTCATTTGATGCCTAACTTATTACTTATGACAGAATATTCACTGAGGGGTTATGCTGGAGTCAGTGTAGTACCTGTGCTGTAGGAGTGCACTTACTTCAACTAGTTCATCTAAGCAGATGTGAAGCATAAGTTTTCTACAGAGCTATCATTCTTAATCACCATTTATCTTGAAGAACTTTAAATAAATGTATACATAGACCAAAAGGCATAATGAGTTACCTGACAACAAGTTTTCATGCTTTAGTGGATTCCACTTTGTTGATTTCTAGAAAATTAACATTTGAATTTTATTGGACTTTTTACTTAAAATATATTTGAAAATTGAACTTAAAAGTTAAAAATTTCAAACTCCTTGATGTGGTGCCACAGTATGAAATTCCTACAGACTTCCATCAACAAATGTATTTGTAGACTACTAAGGTAAATTATTTCAGTTTTCTAATGGATACCTTTATGTCATTAATGAGTCTATTTGCAGATCCCAAGTGTCCGTCAAGATATCACTGTACTCATGAAGCTGGTGTACATAGTGTTGGGTTAACCTGGATTCATAAACTTCATAAGTTTCTTGGATCAGGTGAGTTTACTAACTTTATGTGTTTTTCGGTAGGTTTTAGATGTTCTGTCAAACAAGTAGTTTGGTACAGGGAAACAATAGAAAATTGGTAAAAGGTTTGTTCTCTAGAAAGTTCAGCAAAATTGACAAACCTTGCCAGGCATGAAAACACATGCTTGTAATCCTGGCAGCTCTGGAAGGTGAGTCAGGAGGATCACAAGTTCAAAGCCAGCCTCAGCAATTACCGAGGCCCTAAGCAACTTAGTGACACCTTGTCTCAAAATAAAAAATAAAAATGGCTGGGGTGGTTGCTCGTGGTTAAGTGCCCCTGGGTTCAATCCCTGGTACCAAAAAAAAAAAAAAAGACATATCTTTAGTTAGAGTACCAAAAACTAGAACAAAAAAAAAACCAAAATTATAACAATCTGGTACAAAAAAAGGAATATTACTACCAAGCTTACAGAAACCAAAGAAGGAAAAAAAGAGAAAGGGTACTGTGAAAAAGTGTATGCCAGTTAGATAATCTAGGTGGAATGGACACATTTCAAGAAAGAAAGAAACTACCAAAATTGACTCAAGACAAAATTTAAAAATTGAATAGATCTATAACAAGAAATTGATAGGGAAAATAATTAAGAAACAAAAAACGCTATTCCAAAAGAAATTCTAGGATTAGTTGGCTTTACTTTTAAAGAATTCTTTACAAGCTTCTCCAAAAAAGTAGATGAGAAGGGAACACTTCTTAACTCATTCTGTGAGGTCAGGATGACATTTGTACTAAAACCAGACTAAGACATCCAAGGAAACAAAACAATGGACAGATATCTCTTATGAATGTAGACAAAAAATCCTCAACAAAATACTAGCAAACCCAAATCCAGTAACATGTAAAAAGGATTGTACACCCCAACCTAGTGGAATTTATCTCTGGAATACATGGTTAGTTTAACATCTGAAAATCATGTAGTGTACATGTGAATAGAATAAGGGTCAAAAACCATGTGATCATCTCTATAGATGCAGAAAAAGCATTTAAGAAAATCCAACAGCTTTCATGTTAAAAAGCAGTCAATAAACTAGTAATAGAAAGGAACTTATTCAGACCGATAAAGAGCATCTCCGAAGAATCCGTAGCTGAAAGAATAATGCTTTCTATATAGCTTTCTATTGCTGCTATAATAATTCACAAAAACTGGCTTAAAATACCACAACTTTACTACAGTTTTGTAGGTTAGAAGTTCTGCATGATCTTAATTGTGATCTTAATTCCCCTTTGCTGTATAGTCAGTTTCTAGTGATTGAGATGTGGACATCTTTTGAGAATCCATTATTCTGTGTATCTACAGTCCATTCCTTGTCTACCTCCAGGATTCACATCTGACTCAAACGCAAAATATATTCACCTTAACATTCTCAAAAATCTCAAATAATACAACAGCAACACTAGTTCAACATCTCATCCAAATCTTATGAGTTTTTAAAAAGTCCCATATCTCATCATTTAAATCAACTATGGGTGAAGTTTTTCTGTTTATGGACCATGAAACACAACAACTTAACAAGAACACAGTGGCAGGAGCGGCGAAGGATACCATTTGCAGACATTTCAATTCAAAAGGGAAGAAATTGTTACAGGATGAAGCAATTTCCAAATCCCAATACTCATAGATTTGAAGGCCTGGGGATAATCCTCAAGTTGACTTGTCCTGTGTCTTTTAGGGATGGTAGCATTTGTTTGTAGCTATATAGTTTCATCAGCTTGTTTCTTACCTGTAGAATTTTAGGGTGGAACTGCCTTCTCTCATCTTCTTTCTAGTCTTTTTAGTCCAAACCAGCACTGTTGTAGCTGTTATAAAATTCTCAAGAAACTTTTGGATTTCTTGTGTGTATCATAGAGATTCATTTCAGTAGGTAAGTGGTTTATCCTCCACAGATCCTTCCTAGATAATCCCAACTCTACTTCTGGATTTCTGATGTGAGGGCCGAATAAGTCACACTTGCAATCTCTATTCTATGTGACTAAATATTCTGACCTTCATGGGGTATTTAATAAAGTAGTACAGCCACACTCATAGCCTTTTGTCTATAGCATGATTTTCTGACAGTGAATCTCTTTATCATCTTTTGCCATCCAGATAGACTGAGAATTTCTCATGTCATCAGGTCCTTGTTCCATTTTATTAACTTCTTCCCTTGATTTTATCTTTCCTTGTATTGTACTAATAACAAGAAGAAACCACTAGCCTGCATGTACTTCAAGGCTTTGCTTGGTAATCACCCCAAGTCAGTGACCAATTTAATTGTAAACATGTTCTTTCCCCGTTAGGAGTAAAACAGAGCTATCTCTTCATACCACTTCAGCATTATAACAGAAGTCTTAGACAGGAAGTTAGCTGAGAAAAGGTAATAAAAGATATCCAGACTAGAAAGGAAAAAATAAACTCTCTTCTTAGATACCATGAATCTGCCAAAAAACTATTTGAACTAGTAGTTATATTCAAATTTGTAAGATATAAGACCAGTGTATAAATAGCAGTTTCATTTCTGTGCACTATCAATGAACAATATAAAAGCTAAGAAAACATTTCTGTTTATACTGGAATCAAAATGAATAAAATATAAGTTTAACAAAAGAAGTGATGAATATACTTTTTTTTCCTCTCTCTTTTGGACCTGGGGAATGAACCCAGGGGTGCTTTACATCCCCAGTCCTTTTTATTTTTTGAGACAGGGTCTTGTTAACTTAGTAAGGCCCTAGCCTTACTAAGTTGCTCAGGCTGGCTTTGAACTTTTGATCCTCCTGTCTCAGCCTGCCAGGCTGCTGGGATTATAGGTGTGCATCACTGTGCCAGACGCAGGATATACAGTTAATACTACCAGACAACGAAAGAAAATAAAACCTAAATGAATGAAAAACATCCCATATTCATGGATCAGAGAACTTAATGTTGTTAAATGGCAGTACTTCCTAAGTTGATCTAAAAATTAAGTGCAATCCTTCTCAAAGTTGTAGCTGACTTCTTTGCAAAAATTGACAAGATTACCCTAAAAATTCATATGGAAATGCAGGTAGACTGGAATATCCAAAACAGTCTTGAAAAACAAAATTGGCAAGTCCACACTTTGCAATTTCAAAATTTCACACAAAACCATAGTAATCAAAACAGTACGATATTGGCATAAGGATACAAAAACAGGTCAATGAAATAGAAATTGGGAGTGTAGGAATAAACCTTATATATACAGTCATTTGGTTTCAGTGATGCCAGAACGATTCAGTGGAGACAGAATAGTCTTTTCAACAAGTGATGCTGGCACAAATGAGTATCTGCATACAAAAAAAAAATTACCTTGGACTCCTGCTTTATAAAACCATTTGTGGAAATGAACTCAAATTGGATCAGACCCAAATAAAAGACCTACCACAATAAAGTTTTTAGAAGAGGCATAAATCTTTGTCAAATGGCTTAGGCAGTAGTTTCTTTGGTATATCATCAAAAGCACAATTAGAGAAAGAATAGATAACTTGTTTATCATCAAAATTTAAAACTTTATTATTAAAGGACACTGTCACAAAAATGAAAATCCACAGAACGGGGAAAATATTTGTAAATGATATATTTGATAATGGACTTACTAGAACAAAGAACTCTTAGAATTCAATAATATAAAATGACTTGTCCGACCTAATAATGGGTAAAGTGGGGCTGGGAGTGTAGCTCATTGGTTATAGTCTTATCTAGCATGCATGAGATCCCAGGTTCCATCCCCAGAACCACAAAAGGGTGCAGGGTGGTGGGGAATGCAGAAGATTTGCATACGTATTGTTCCTTCAATGATACATAAATAACAGAAAATTTTTTACAACATCCTTAGTCGTTATGGAAATGAAATATCACAAAACCACAATAAAATATCATTGAATATCTACTGAGATGTCCAAAAGGAAAAAAAAATGGACAATTGCAAGTATTGATGAGGCTATGGAAGAATGGGGACTCTAACAGATTGCTTAATGAGAATGTAAAAGGTGCAGTGGTTGAAAAACAGCTTGGCAGTTCTGGAAAAGATTAAGCATAGTTACAATATATCCAGCAGTTCCCCTGTGTATATACTCAAAGAGAAATGAAAACATGTCCACACAAATACTTGTATACAGGTGGTCATAGTAACATTATTCATAGTAGCCACATAGTGTGTATCAACTGATAGATTATTAAAAATGGGTCTATCCGTCCACACAATGAAATATTATTCAGACATAAGAAGGAATGTAGTACTAATAACATGTTCCAATATGGGTGAACATGGATAACTTGAAAACATGCTAAGTGAAAGAAGTCAATTAAACTATGAATTTTATGATACCATGTACATGAAAAGTCCAGTATAGACAAATCCACAGAGGCAGAAAGATGAGTGGTTGCCTAGCTCTGAGAAAGTTGGTAGAAACTGAGAGTGATCATTAAAAGGTCTGGGGGTTTCTTTTAGAGAAATGAAAATATTGTAAATTAATTGTAGTGATGGCTATCCAGTTCTATTAATATAGTAAAACCCACTGGATTGTACACTTCAGAATGGGAGAGTTTGGTGGCCCAAAGGGTATTATTTAAAAAAAAAAAAAAAATTAGTGTTGAAAAGGAAGACTGGAAGGGAATTATTCCTGAGATGATTATTTTTTTTTATTGGTTGTTCACAACATTACTAATCTCTTGACATATCGTATTTCATACATTAGATTGAATTGGGTTATGAACTCCCAATTTTTACCCCAAATGCAGATTGCAGAATCACGTCGATTACACATCCACAATTTTACATAATGCCCTATTAGTAACTGTTGTATTCTGCTACCTTTCCTATCCCCTACTGTCCCCCTCCCCTTCCCTCACATCTTCTCTCTCTACCCCATCTACTGTAATTAATTTCTCTCCTTTTTATTTTCCCATTTCCCTCACAACCTCTTATATGTAATTTTGTATAGCAATGAGGGTCTCCCTTCATTTCCATGCAATTTCCCTTTTCTCTCCCTTTCCCACCCATCTCATGTCTCTGTTTAATGTTAATCTTTTCTTCCTGCTCTTACTCCCTGCTCTGTTCATAGTTGCTCTCATTATATCAAAGAAGACATTTGGTATTTCCTGAGATTATTCTCATGAAATGTTTCTCCATTTACAGCCTGACCAAGAAAAACCTTAATTTCCTTTCCACAGCAGAAATCTAGACGCCTGAAGTAAGGATATTTGTTAGAAGGGAATAATCCTTTAGAAGGAATGGTTTGAGAAAAGTACTTTTAATTGCATTTAATATGGAGATTTGGCTAAGCATCAATTAATTTATATGCTTTCCTTTATAGATGAAGAAGATAAGGATAGTTTACAAGAACTTGCTACAGAACAGAAATGCTTTGTAGAACATATCCTTTGTACAAAGCCACTGCCATGCAGGTAAAGCTCATCTCTCCCATGTATACAATGATAATACTAGTTCATTTCAGTAATTCAAGTACATACATACTTAGAATACTTCACCCCAAGAGTATCATGTTAAACCTTTCTCCTGTTTCAAGGCCATTCCACATGTTATTTTCTCTGTCCCAGTCCTGATCATAGCTTACTATCCTCTTGGTTAACTCTTGCTCTTGTTTTTGAGACAGGGTCTTGCTATATTGTAGACTGGGCTCACATGCCTGGGCTCAAGTGAGCCTCTTGCTTCAGCCTCTCAAGTAGCTAGGATTAAAGGTTGTACCACCCACACAACACTTACTCCTCTTGCTAATCTGTCATTTCTTCAGAGGACTTCCTTGATTGATTCCTTCAGAGGACCTCCTGTTCTTTTTATCATATTATATTCTTATATTGTAACTTGTGTTTGCTTAATGTCTGTCACCACTACTGCAATATGTTTGAAGAAAGCAGTTTCTTATTCTTAGTATATTCTGTTGGTCTTTTGTTTACTCAGTGTGTACCAGAGTGCCACTCAGTGAATATTTGATGAATAAGAGAAAAGGGAGGTGTCTAGAATGATTCCAAAGTTTCTTCTAAGGATAAATGTGATACTTTTCAGACAATTGGAGACATAATGAGTGAATTTGAGAAGAAGCAAGATGAATTACGCAGGCATCTAGAGTTTTATGTTCTCTGTAGGCCATCCAGGTGGAGGAGCCTACTAGCAGTTGGAGATAATAGGTCTGAAGTTTGGAGTGATCTTGTATAGGACACTAGAGATGGGGAATTGTCAGCATTGGAGTGATGATTCTGGCTCCAATGTAAGGTTACCCAGTAAAGGGCCTGAGACGAGTGGAGGAGATCTGCGTGAAGTGATCTTAAAGTATGAGCAGTGGGTAGAGACAGGAGCCCAGCCCTGGAAGGAAACGTGAATAAAGGGCTGCCAGAGACACTGAAGGAGAACCTGAAGGGAAGGATGTCAAGGATACCAGGGAGGAGCTGTTTCTAAGAGAAGGCAGCAAGGAACTGGTGAGCAGTGATCATAGACTTGGCAATACAAAGAACCATAGGACTGAGGCTGCTGCGGCATTCTAATTTTTGACCTGGGTACTGGTTATATAATATGTAAGCACTCTCTCAATGTGGGCTTCACACTGATAACAAAAGTAAAATTCTAGAATTTCCTAGATTCCCTCCCCTTTAGAACGAGGATAGGAAATGTGTTGTTTATTACTGTCTAGAGACTGCTATTCTAAAGGAGGAAAGTGAGAATTGGTCAGTGTGCAATTTTCAGATGAGAGAGAAAATGGTACAAATGTTCAGGGACAAAAAAACGTGCTGTGGCCTGAGGGTGGGATTTCATGGGGGCCAGTTATAGAGTGTGTTGGCAGGGATAGTTCCCATTTGAGAGCCACAGTTTGCAGTTTCTTTAGGTGAAGTAGGAAGGAAGTTAGAGGGAGGTGTATGCTAGGTGCACTAAATGAAGTCCTATGATAGATGTTGGCTTCACTGAATGTGTAATGTGAGATATACCCTAAAGTTCATTGAATCTGTTAGGCACTAGATGAGACACACACATATAGCTGGTGTTTACGTGTGAGCTGATACATAAAGAGTGAACTTGAGTGTACTGTGACCTCTGAGATTATCATAAACCCTGTGAGCCTGTAGGTTCCTGAGGGACTTGGTAAATGGCCTCTTAGACTGATAAGTGGCAGTTTAGTTTAGACTGATCAGAGGTTTATTACAGGCTTCCATATCACCACTTTTGAGATTATGGCACTGATATCATATCCCAGGTAACTATCAGCCTAGGCCTGAAAAGGCCACAGGCTGGTTACGTTCTTTGTTCTTGGTTCATTGGGTTATGTCTTTGTTCTTAGTATGATTGCATCTGCCGCTTTGTAACTTAACTGAATTTTTTCCTCCAGGCAGCCAGCTCCAATTCGAGGATTCTGGATTGTCCCTGATATTCTTGGGCCCACAATGATCTGCATCACCAGTACCTACGAGTGCCTCACAAGGCCTTTATTGTATGTCCTTCCTTTTTATATTTTCTACATAGTAACTGGTTCAAACTTATACATATTTTTTTTTTTTTAATTTTTGGTACTAAGAATTGAACCCAGAGGCAATTTACCACTAAGCCACATCCCAGCCTTCTTATTAAGATAAGATCTCACCAAGTTGCTTAGAGCCTAAGTTGTCGAGGCTGGCCTTGAACTTGTAGTCTTCCTGCCTTAGCCTCCCAAGTTCCTGGGATTACAGGAGTTCGCCACCACACCTGACATATTACAGTTTGTTTTAGCTTCTGGCTTGAGGGTTGAAAGGGTGGATGACTATTTTCCCTGCTGTGTCTTGAAGTGTTCATTTTAGACATGGTTTTTGGTACCTCCATCAAATAGCTGAAAATTGAGAGCTTTTCCTTAAAGTGTGGGAAAAATACTAAAGTTAATAATGAATTCCATTGTTAATATGAACTAGATTTAATAGTCATCAAGCTGTATGTGCCAGGCCCAGAAGTAAGCCATATTCCTGCATCACCTCCTGGAATTATCAGAGTAGCCTTCAAAAAGAACACTGTTCCCCATCTTTCAGAAGAGGAAACAGAGTTTAAGCCAATGCAGAAGTCAAGGAAAAGACAACTGGGATTTAGGTCTGACTGATTCTAAAGTTCATATTCAGTCTTAATTTCTTCTCTACCAGCCTCATCAGGGAGTGTGTAAACTCTAGAAGAAAGGTGGTATAAAGCCAAACTCAGCAGTCCTTGTTGCTTTTTAAGAAACTCAGATATGAAGCTGTAATTACCATTTTCCTTTTCCAACAGCTTTGGAAGGTCATTCTGAGTTTTATAAATGCAGGAGTAGGAATATCAAAATCAAAAGTCAGTTCTGAATGTTAAAGCCTAGTCTCTTGGTGTCAGTTCAGAGCATGTGCTTCTATATACTGATTTATGTAGAAAATACTAGCATTCATTTACTGTCCTTAGAAGGTCTTCTGTGAGCCAGGTCTGATATTGCATGCCTGTAAACCCAGCAACTTGGGGAGGCTGAGACAGGAGGATTATGAATTCAAAGCTAAGCCTCAGCAATGGCGAGGCACTAAGTGACTCGGTGAGACCCTGTCTCTAAATAAAATACAAAATAGGGCTGAGGATGTGGCTCAATGGCCAAGTGCCCCAAGTTCAATCCCCAGTACCAAAAAAAAAAAAAAAAAAAGTCTTCTACATTAAAAAAAAAATGATGCTAATACTACTTAGATGGGGAAAAAAATAAAAATTTTGTGTTGCTTATACTAAAAGAGACTGAAAATTAGCAAGATTAATCAAAATAAAATCACTGGTATGTTGACATCTCCTGGGAATCTTTTCTTTCTTTTTAATATTTATTTTTTAGTTTTAGGTGAACACAATATCTTTATTTTACATTTATGTGGTGCTGAGGATTGAACCCAGTGCCTCATGCATGTTAGGCGAGTGCTCTACCACTGAGCCACAAATCCCAGCCCCAGCCTCAGCATATTTTTCAAAAGTCCACATACCTTTAGTAAAATAGGACCTAGTCACACCAATTTCAGAGTAAAGATATGAATCCTAAATGGTGAAAAAACTCAATTATCTGGATACCTTCAAATCATGTTTCTGCCAACTCCCTAAAATATAGATTATCTGTAAAGTAATGTCACTGTTTAACAAACCTTGTGAATTTAAATTGTCATTTTCAAAGTAAGTTAGTTACCATGTTACCAAAATTTTATACTCTTTCAAGCACTTTCTAAAATTGCCTTTGCAAATATTTATGATTGAGGGCATACAATTTTTAGGAATCAAGTTATATACAACTGCATATGGCATATAGTTGTTATCTGTCTTAAATTGGTGTTGATCAAGTCTGTACCTAAGAAAGGAGTGACTTGTTTGTGGCTCTAGCTTTTAAAACAAGTTCTTGAGTCCTTTGCGGAAAGGATCTGTTGGTAGAGTCCAAAATGCTTTCACACATGGCAGCATAAAGGGACAACTTCTGAACGTGATCTCTTCAAGGTGGAAAACATACATTCTTGTGCTTTTGAGTAACAACTTTTTGTTTATGTTCTCCAAGTTCTGGATAAGTTTGGTTTATGCTTTCATATAGTAAATAATTCCATTGGTAGACTTTCATTTATCTGTTTTATAGGAGTACTGTCCATCCAGCTTCTCCTCCCCTTCTGTGTACCCGAGAAGATGTTGAAGTGACAGAGTCCCCTCTCCGTATTCTGGCTGAGACCCCAGATTCCTTTGAAAAGCATATTAGAAGCATTTTGCAACGTAGTGTTGCCAATCCAGCATTTCTCAAGTATGTGATCTTGGGCATCCAGATTTTAAGAATGGGTTTTGTTCTCTCTTTTCAAAATTATTGTTCATCCTTTCTGTCTTCAGCTATTTCATATCTGCTTTACTGTGGTGGAGGTGGAAGAGACACAGGGCATATCTCATCAGTTAGTGAGTAGAGGAAGAGAAGTGACACCTGAGAGTGATAAACAAAGTGAAAAAGGAAGCTAGGCATGGGGGTGGATGCCTATAATCCCAATGGCTTTGGAGACTAAGGCAAGAGGATCATAAGTTTGAGGCCGGCCTCAACAACTTAGCAAGACCTTGTTTTAAAATAAATAAGTGCAAAAAAGGAAAAAAAGCAGCTGACTCAGTCTGTTTTCACTAGTCTTACTTGGCTAAGGAAAATGATAGAAATTTTCATTTTAAGATCATCTGAAAAGGATTTGGCCCCTCCTCCTGAGGAATGCCTTCAGCTCATCAGCAGAGCCACCCAGGTGTTCAGAGAACAGTACATTCTTAAGCAGGACCTGGCAAAGGAAGAGATTCAGCGGAGGTAGGATGTCTTATGTTCACAACCATTAGTCCCTGGTTGGTAGCTGGTATTAATAGCCCAGGCCTGGCTTCTGATTAAACTTTATTTTCCTTCTTAAAGGGTCAAATTATTATGTGACCAAAAAAAGAAACAGCTAGAAGATCTCAATTATTGTCGAGAGGAGAGGTAAGTGTCAAAACTAGGGAGAATGAAGCAGTAATGTAGGGCACTGAATCTCACCTCAAGATGTTGAACACATCAGTGAACCCCAAGAGTCTTTTGTTTCTTATGCCATCAGGAAGAGTCTACGGGAAATGGCTGAGCGCTTAGCTGACAAATATGAGGAAGCCAAGGAGAAACAAGAAGATATCATGAACAGGTCAGTGGGATGTGTAATATTCAGTTCCCTACTCAGATACTAGCAACCTTATTAAGTACTTATAGTATTATGAAGAAAATAGACCTTAGCAGTTGCTCACATACCTATAGAATTGAATGGATCCCTGTTTCTCCTCTAAAGTGTATGTTAGGAAAGATATGTCACTTTCCCCTAATCTATCCTGTGGAGACCTCCTCCCCAGATACCAGAGTCTTGAATTACAAGCTTTATTGTGATTATATTTCTCATAATTAGCGGAGATCTTAAGCTGAGATGTTTGCTTACCTTATCTAAAGGATGAAAAAAGTTCTTCACAGTTTTCACACTCAGCTCCCAGTTCTCTCTGATAGTGAGAGAGACATGAAGAAAGAATTACAGCTGATACCAGATCAACTTCGACATTTGGGCAATGCCATCAAACAGGTAGGAATGGGTACAAGGTGGTTAAATTCAGTCTTATTTTTTAAGCATTATGCTACAGAAAATAATTTCATAAAATATAACAAGAACAGATTAAAACATGTAAAAACATGTGGCAAAGCATACTAAAATATTCATGTTCTGTTTGATTACTTAAGGTTACTATGAAAAAAGACTATCAACAGCGAAAGATGGAAAAGGTGCCAAGTCCTCAAAAACCGAGCATCACCCTCAGTGCCTACCAGCGGAAATGCATCCAGTCCATTCTGAAGGAGGAGTAAGTAAATGCTTATAAACTTGCTATTGTTGTGAAAATAGTTTTTTTCTCTGGAGTATGCCAAAGTCTCCCTCTGTCTGTCCAGGTAAAGATTCCCAAGTTTTAGTGTCTGCACATCACTAATTACTAGGATAGGGACTTAAGCAATGAGTATGGTGAGAGGATGGAATATGATGGCTTTTCTGTAATGTGATTTTGTTGCGTGGTCAAAAGTATTTTCCCAGAGAGAGACTATGTTCAAAGATATTTCCTGGGGGACTGGGGTTGTTGCTCAATGGTAGAATGCTTGCCCAGCATGTGTGAGGCACTGGGTTCGATCCTCAGCACCACATAAAAATGAAATAAAGATATCATGTGTCCACCTTCAACTAAAAAATAAATATTAAAAAAAAAAAATCCTGGGGCTGGAGGTATACAGCTCAGTGGTAGAGCAATCAAGTAGCATACACAAGGTCCTGGGTTTTATCCCCAGTACTTAGCCACAAAAAATAAATTCCAGTAGTTGAACCAGTTTGCCACCTTAAATGAGTAAATACCTTCTATCCATCTGGAACCTTAAGTTAATTTAAGCAAAGAAGTTCTTAGATAATTCAGCATTACTCGTTTCAGTTCTTAAGATTCTGTACTAATGACTTTCATCTCTAAAAATGAGTGACTTTATGATTTTACAGGGGTGAACACATAAGGGAAATGGTGAAGCAAATCAATGATATCCGAAATCATGTAAACTTCTGACACCAGGATTAGATTCACAACTGAAATTAACAGAACTGAAGATTCAAACCCATACTGTAAACCAAACAGCACTAATTTATAAAGAAGCATTTTTTTTGGATGAATTTGGTGTGGTTTATCATTTTTTATATTTGTTTTATAATTATTGAATAAATATATTTAAAAATTGGAATGTGCTTTATAACTAAATTCAGTGATCATATGCAACAAGGGCCCGGTATCATTTTCAAAAACAAAACCACCCTGAGACACAGGCTTTCAGCTGTACACTTCCAAGTCTCCTTGACCCTACTGAACTTTCTCTCTATTGAAGCCAGAATAAGAGCTGCATTTTAAAGTAGCATCACAACACTAGAATTCAAAGGAAAAGGCCACACAGTCTACTGGGCAGCAGCTTTTTTTAATTCGAACACTTCTTCTTAAGGAAACACCTTCAGTACAGTTAGCAACAGTTACACCTGCAATCTGCTCAGAACAGAGCTAAAGATCCACAATTGCCAAGGCCACCTCTGCTCACTTCTCACAGGCATTATTACCTTTCAGAGCTGAGTTTGGCTGTGCTGTGTCTCGACTGAGTAGGTACAAGGTGCAAGTGTTAGCACCTTAAAGAAAGAAATAGCTTGGTAGGCAGTATATGGTTTTGTCTCAGCTTTACATCTTTTTGTACCTGCCAATATATGAGTTCTGAAAGGTAATAACCATACCTGCCTAGAAATGGCCAAGTGACTGCCAATTAAAAACCACATTGTAAGGTACATTACAGGTAAGAGGTAAATTGGGTTAGACATGCGAGAGAACAGGTGTACACAGACTGAATACAAGCACAGGAACACTTGTGAAACCCAACTGATCTTTTCCTTAGAAGGGATAAATTTCACCTTCTTAAATCAGATTTCATTTATCCAGAAAATCCCACTTAAAGAATTGTCCTACCTGGAGAGTATCACAGCAGTTTGTTTCATACCAGACTGTTAAAATGCAGTCTCAGTTTGGGTTTTTCTAGGATATTTTTCTCAATTTAGTGGATTCCAACAGTTGCATCTGCCATAGTACAGACCATGAAGAGTTCCCTAATCATGATTTTATTGCCCCAATACCCATCTTCTGGAGAAAAAAAAGGTGCTCAGTCTCAGCAGTTAACTGGAAACAATGGTTCAGAAAGATTACGAATTACTCCTCATGATTTATAGTGCTAAATAAGCTTGGAACCTATGCAAGGAACTAGTCTTAACTGTAAATCATATTCTGTAACTAACAAAATTCCCTGTAACTCAAAGAGGACATGTTTCCTTTAAACCAGGTAGACTTTATACAAAAGGACTTCAATCAGATATAATGCTTCATGCATGACAAGCCTTTAGCACTACTTTCATAATTAGTATTTACTTTTAAATTCATAATCATGAATGCAAGACTACAAAAATAATCCATGGGATGATGTAATGTAGTCCTTATCATTTATCCTGTGGAAGAAAGATCTTTAGGACAAATCCATACTGACTTCATTTATAACAAAGTTCACTAATTCCTATAAGGTTCCTTCAGGTATCCTTCTGCTATTCAACATCAATTAAAAAAAGTACTTAAACATTTTTCCTTTTGAATGTTGTACATGGTGAATTAAACAGAGCCTTCCACTAGCTGCTCTTGGGGCAGTACTGCAGCAGGTGAACAGTGAGCATGACACAAATTTACTGTTTCTGCAACACTTCATGAAGCTATGGCAAAAACAACTTGTTCCACCAAGGTTTTCTTCACACAAGAAACTCACACTCTTGGAAAATGACAGAGTAGATTTCCAAACTGATTGATACACTAAATGGATTTCTCCCCAATTTCACTGAGCATTGTCACTTAGACTCCAGATCAAAATTGTAAAAGAAAATATCAAGTAAGTATCTGCCAAACCTCATAACTTTTCTATATTTGACACTTTTAAAACAAATAGTATTTAAGCCCACTGATTCAAGTTGAAAATAAGTAGATTTATAAATATATGATAGATGATGTCAGGTATAGTTTGTTTATTATTTTTTCACTGATCCAATAACTAGGCCAAAACATCAAAAGTCTGGTGCCAGTTCAACCCTGGCACCTGTGGGGCCCACGAAGATCTTCCAGGTATGCAGAAAAAGTGCTTCCAAATAGTTTCTTGTGCTTTTCCTTTAAATTCAACTTCCAATACATACATATATATGTATATATACATACATATATACATACATATATATAATTATCCATATATAACCTCAGCCAAGTTTTCAAATCCTAATTCTGTACTTGAACTAGTTTGGTCTGCCACAGTCTTAAAGTTCTTAGGCAAGTTTCAGTAGCATTTAAAAATCCTCCAATATAAGATAAAATGGTAAAAAGAAGAAAATGTACTGAACGAGGGAAATACAGTCAGTAGCCAATGGCCTGCTCTCAAACTTCATATTTTAATATAAAATATTCATACAGCATACTACACCTCTGTCTGCTATCTGAATACTGTTACTGATGAGCTCTCTAGACAACAGAAAAAAAAATTCTCTCACTATGAACAGAAAATGTAATTCCAAACACTACTGGGAAGTTGCTTTAGGGTAAGAAAATGTGTTTGAAAATTTTATGTTGGAGAAATCAGGCAAAGATACAGCCCTTTTCCATCACCAAATCTGATCCCACACCTGTTGGAATCAAGCCCGGAGTCTGATTAGTGTTCATTGGAAAGGTCTGTTGGCTGCAAATGACCCTGGCTGCTGGCTGTCCCTGTGCTGCACAGTCTTCTCTCACCAGAAATAAGCATTTCTCCAATCGTCCTTTTGTTGTGACTTCGGCTTCTTCAGTTAAGAGTTAAATAATAATTAATGTTGATCTAAAGATGAGTTAAAAACCCCAAAGTGCAGACTAGAATCCTGCTGTCAGGGTGTCATGTCTCAGGGAGCTGGTTAATGTCTGTCAGTTTGGTATCATTCAGAATTGCCCGGATTCTCTCCAAGGAGTCTGCTTGCCGGATCCGCTCTAACTGCACCTGGAGAAACAATGGTGAGATATGTGCAGGTGGCCCATTGCCTAGATTTTCTCAGCCTTTGGTTTAGCTGAGATGGAGCAGATTAATTCACCAGAGCAGTCATTTCAGAGAAGGAAGGCAGCAGCAAGAACAATTTAATTTTTAAAATTCCCCAAAGCTACTTTGTAACAATCTAGTATTATGAATATAAATGCTGTGATTATGGAGACCTGACTCAATCCCCAAGAAGACATAGTTCAGCTGGGAAGAAAATAAGCTAACAGTCTACTAAATGTCACTAGACATTGACAGAGTGCCAAGGGAGCATGGTGGAGGAAGGAAGTACTTCAGACTCAGCTCAGGGACCTAGAAGGTTCCATTGAGAGGACAAACATAAGCTGGGCCCTCAAGAAAAGGAGTCAGGGGGAGACAAGGAATTTACTGGAGGGAACACCATGCTCTGGGCTGGACACTAAGTAGTTTTTTAAAAATTTAGGTCATAAAATACAAGTTTGTACTCATATAGCAAGGTATAGAAGAAAGAGATCAAAGTCTGTAGGTTCTGGCTTGATTGTCTAGGTGGACATTTGGGGTAGAGGTAAAAGCAGCTGCAGTCACTACATTGCTAGCTACTCTGGTGCTCAAGGATGGCAAGATTCTCTCCCCACAGTTCCACAGTGGTTCCCCAAATGCCTCACCTGAAGGGTCTGAGAAAGCTTTACAAAATCTCTCTGGACTTGTTCACTGACATCTAATTCTGTCTGTAATCTCTGAGCTTTGTTCTTCTCTTCAAACATTAGTTGCTCAACAGCAGCCTAAAATATAAAAGTTTTGAATGTTAATGCCAAAGAGGCAAAGGTCAGAATTACTCAGAAACTTAAACTTGTTACCTACTCCTAGGGAAGATATCTCCCATATCCCACTAATCTCTATCTATAGGGCGAGGGTGCAAACTGGCCAAGATATCTGCTCTAGGATCTAAAATGAATTGGACACAAAAGCCAGGATAAAAATGGATTAAAGTACTGCACCAGCTACCTCCAGCAACTGGTGACAGTGATTAATATAAAAACAGCTGCTAAGATCAGTAGCTGTCACAGCAACAGGGATAGAAACCTCAGGATTTCCTCTGACAATCACAATAAACAAATATCCACCAGGAAAATTCTCAGTAAATAAGCCCCAGTCTTCCTTATTGCACAAAACTTCAGCAGAATGTGAACTGTTGCCTTTCTAAAGACAAGTGGCTATTGAATAACACCAACAGAACATTTCTGCACCTAAATGTCTGACCACACAGTTCAATAAGATGCTTTCTAGGCAACTCTCCCTACAATTAGCCAAATGCCCTTCAATTCTAACTGGATCAATCAATTCAGGCAGTAAATGTGGTTCAATACAATCATATGATCTGACACATCATTCAAATGAAATGAACATTTCAAAGCATGTTTCTAACTGGGCATTGCCCAAGCTTGGTTTAATGGCCCTGATGGCCAGTTTGGCCTACTAAAGCCTATGACAGGCCTCTAGGGCTGGCAGAATGAAGATTTACTCCAACTCTGATTCAAATTCATTTTCTTTTTGCAAGCAGCTAGTCTTTCCTACTTTCAGAAGGTGATATTCCATACCAGCAATATTGGTTTGATTTGGTTTTGAAAACAATTAAGATGTGTTCCTACATTCTTAGCCTTAAAAGTTAAATAACCACAAAAATATTACCTTAGCAGCAGTCTCTTTCTTTAACTGGTCTTCCAAATTAATCTTTATCTCCTGAAGATTCTCAAGCTGTTGAGACTTCTCTCTAAATGTAGAATCCAACTGTAAAATTAAAAAGGAAAAAGCTGAACTTTACAAACTCCCTATAGGCCAGAGCATGCTGCCTAGAAAAGCCTACAGGCAATGTTTGGAATGTACTTCTCACCTTTTAATGTCTGGATTCTGTTTTTCCTTCCAGAACTATTTTTTCATTAACTACTTATTGGGTACCTACCATGTTCTAAGGCTTAGAGATGGAGAAATCAGGAGAGACCAGACATGTTAATTATGGCATATGAACCCAGAAGAAGGAAAAAGTACTTAATTCTGCCAGAAAACTTAAGAAGTATTTCCTAGAAGAAATGCTGCTTGGCTATTAAAAGATGAAAATGTTTATAGAAGCAGGAAAAGAGGGAGAAAAGAAACAGAGACACTCAAAAAAGAGGGAAACGGTGACATGCATAAAAATGCCTTCAGGAATGGTGGTGGGTTCTTACCCACAGCAGTGTCAGGGCTGTAGAATTTGAGGCATGTCAGGCAAGAAGAGATCTCTGGCTGGCTAAGGAATACCAACTTGTCCTGTAACTAAAGGAAGCCACTGGAAGGTTTTTCAACAAGAGAGGTCATAGTTGAGTTTGTAATTTTTTGAAGATCACCTTGCTTTTAATATAGAGATGAATTTCAAGATGCTAAATTCAGGAGACAGGAAACAAGCTCTTTTTTGAAGCACATCCCCAGCGCTTTTGTGTGTGTATATATTTTATTTAGAGACAGGGTCTCACTGAGTTGCTTAGGGCCTCATTGCTTAGGGCCTCACTAAGTTGCTGAGGCTGGCTCATGATCCTCCTGCCTCAGCCTCTTGAGCTGCTGGGATTACAGGTGTGTACCACCTCACCTGGCTAGGAAACAAGCTCTTAAAATATTTAAGGTGAGAAGTGAGTCTGAAACCACACAGGGTGACAGTGGAGTAAAATGATAAGGTGTTAGTTATCTGAGTACAGTTTATTCCCTCTCTCATTTCTCCCACCCCCACCCCTGCTTTCTGGCACTAGGGACTGAGCCCAGAGCTTCACACACGTGGCTCACTGAGCCACACTACCAGCCCTATAGTCATCTCTATAATGCAATCATAGTAGTCAAGTGGAGGCAGAGACAGGCTGCAGCAGGTAAGGACTGCTTGTGAGGCCCCTCTTCAAGAGTGTCAGCAAGCCAGGAACAGTGGCACACACCTATTAATTCCAGCAAGGCAAGAAGATCACAAGTTCAAGGCCAGCCTGGGCAACCAGTGAGACCCTGCCTCAAAATAAAAAATAAAAAGGGCTGGGGTACAGCTCAGTGGTGGAGTACTTGCCTAGTATGTGTGAGGCCCTACTTTAAAAAAAAAAAAAAAAAAAAAAAGATGTTGCACAAAAGCCAGGAATTCATGTAGTCCCAGCTACTTGTAAGGCTTAGGCAGGACAGCTTAAGACCTAGAGTTCAAGGCCAGCCTGAGCAACTCAGTGAGACCCTGTCTCAAAATAAAATTAAACAAGGGCTGAGAATGTAGCTCAGTGCCTGCCTAGCACATGCAAATCCAAGGACACAATCCCAAGCACTACAAACAAAATGTGGCAGTCAAGAAAAGAAAGGTGGCTTGAGAGAAGTGCAAAGAGAAACTTTCCCTTTTAATGGGAGACACCTGAACATATCTGAGTAATAGGAAAGATCAACAAAGAGCCCAAGACTCAGAGTGGAAGGCTGGAAAACACGAGAGGGATTCAGTGAAAGCACCTCTGCAGTGACATACTATGGTGAGAAACAGATCATCATTTTCTCAAGAAAGAAGAGAGAAAGCTGGGAATAAGAGCAGGAGAACAAGTGACCGAGGAGCCTGAAGATGGTCCTGCATTATGACTGCAGAGTGAGCTCAGCATCTGCTGAGTGTGAGGGATTTGAGGTGATAATGACTGAAGTAGTCCCACAGGGGATGGAAGAGAGACACCTTAGGACAAATGAAAGGCTGTCTGGGAACACCAGAGCCCCATCTAACAGCACGAGCAGAACTGATGGCATCAGCAGCCTGGGGACACCAGGTCTAAGCCAAAGTTGGGCAGTAATTAAATGAGGGCAGCAGAAGGACAAGGAATCTGGGGATTGGAGAATGTGCATGGAAGACTAGCTAAAGAGGCAAGGTGTTTAAGTTGCAGCTTGGAAGTAAAGAAAGCTAAGCCAAGAAGGAGTTACTTAATCCAAGAGAAAGGAAAAGTTAAAAGTTAAGGGAAGTGAAGAAGTGGAGGAAGTACCCAGAAGGACCTGTAGGAGTAAGACCAGGATGATGAAAGCTGTGGCCAAGGAGGACAGAGTGGAGGCCAAGATCTCCGACTAAAGGAATAAGGAGGCCAGGAACTGAATGGGTTACCTGTCACAGGTGTTGTGTTGTCTAAAAGAGGACTCCAAGCCAGCTAGACAGCATGCTCTACTTAGAAATGTTTTCTACACACTCCTACGGTAGCTTTATTGGAACATGATGTCAGGACCATGCCTGCCTGTTTCCCACGACAATGGAGACTCCAGGCTACCGTCAAGTCATCCTCTTTCCCTTTCCTCCTCCAGTCAACACAGCCTGACACACAACAGCCTCTCAATAAATGTTCATCATCATCCAAAGTTCCTTAAAGGCCAAGTATTGTGCTCAACTATTTCTTATTCCTTGGCTCTAAGATTAAATATCAACTGATTGTTGACAGAATTAATTTTAAACTTACGACTCACCTGTTCTTTTTCTACTTTTATTCTTTCTAATTCAGCCTTCAGACTAGAAATGGAAGCTGTAAGAGGAAAGGGGAGAAATATTAGCAATCATTTATTATTGTGCAGTATTTTTTTTTCTTAAGCTACACCAAAGGACTCAAATATATACTGAACATGGGGGAAAAGGTCCTTTCTCAAAACTATCCCCAACCAAGCAGCATCATTATCAAGCTCAGGTAAAGGCAGAGTTCACATGAAAGGACACTATAATAAACTACCTCTCCATCAAGTATACACATCTGACTGTCAGGGGAAAAAGATATTCCTAGCAGTTAACACATCAAAGTTCTACTTGGAAATATCACCCATCTAACTGCATTCCCAGTGGCCTGGATTCCAGTGTTGTTTTCTGTTAGTAACTGACAAAGAAAGGTCATCAGAGCTCCTAAAAAACACAAGATTTTTTGTTTTCAGTTTTTTAGTTGCCATATTACTAGATATATCAGAATATCTGAGAAAAATGGGTTGAATCCTTACTTTTTTCCTATACTTTCCTCTTTTCCACATCCTATGACCAACTATTAATTTTCACAATCAGAGAAGTTTTATTTAATCCCAGTGACTCAGGAGGATAAGTCAGGAAGATCCTAAGTTCTAGGCCAGCCTCAGCAACTTACTGAGACCCTATCTCAAAATAAAAATAATGAAGGGCCAGGTATAGCTCAGTGGTAGAGGACCCCTGGGTTAAATCTCTAGTACTGCTGCCCCCCCAACCCCCACCAAGAAAAAAAGGAAGTAAAAGTTTTATTTAGTAACCAATTCTACACTATATCACTTTTATCTTCACCTATTTCCTCCTTGCAGTTTTCTATTTCTAGCTGCAGAGTTTCTTCAAGGTTTTCTTTTAAACACTGTTCTGCTTGAATCTGCTCTTTTAGGAAAAGTATCTCAGCCTTCAGTTTTTCTTCCATGTGGTCTGCTGCTGTCCGCACATGAATGATGTTCTCACGGTATTTTAATACCAATTCCCGGAGCACCTGGATTCAAGAAACAAGTAGTTATTGGATTTGTGATGGTGAAAGGAAGTAAAGAAACAAAAGATCTTCTACAACCAGAATTTCAGATATTGTTCTAAATGATTCAAATATTAAGACTCTGATCTTTAACCCACATAGGGCTTCAAAGGCACGTCATGTCATGTTAATGCCCAATGTTTCAGAAGTAAGACAATTCCAGTCAAAAATGTGTGCTGTGAACTACATGTTTCCCTCAACCTATTTCCTAAGCAAAACAATTAAAATGTTAAATGACTTGCAATACTAGGTTCACTAGAAATAGTAGCTTAAGTGAAGGGGGGAAAAATCCTCAGGAGTAAGTGTGAACTCTAAGAGAATGAAATTTAATTACTTACCTATTTATTCATTTAAACTGAATATCTACCATAGGCAAAATAGCATCTCAAGCCAGAGCTAAGTAGCAAAGGATGCTTCTAAGGTGATTAGCTGTTTTTCTATAATAAATTCAGTGTGAGTCTTATTTTCCCCTAAATTTTAGTACTGGCATCTTCTAAAAATATTTCCAGTTATATCCTAAAGCAACTGTAAAGTAAAAACTGGTATTTTTAGATAACCTTTAAAATATAGAAATAAAAAGTCTATAGAGAATACAGAACAGAGAAGTCTTTCTGACCAAAAGAGAAAAGTATAACAACTATACTTTTCTATAGACAGCAGGTGATAGTACAGTGATTTTAAGCTAATAGCAAAGCACCCAGGTTTCCAATACCTTCTGATGAGCAAGGAGGAAGGCTCTCCTATGAAAGCCAGGAAACTGAACTAGACACAAGCTGTGGGAGGTGACTGCATGACTGCATGTGGCTAAAGGCAAGATAAACAATTGAATCTTTATAAATCATCAAATAAGAGTAAAAAATAACAATAATGTTAAGATGTGCATAAGAAAAAAGAATGAGGTCTATATTGTAGAGGTTGAATCTACAGAACAGGTTTAAGGGAAACACAACTATAAATTTATTTAATGTTTGATTTTTAAATACTTTTTTAAAACAATTATAATTTAAGATACAAAAGAAAAAAGGACCTTACAAACAATATTTTTCTACTTCACTTTGAAATTGCTCTAAGAAATCTCATCTTCGCCTGTACTGCTTATGGGGTTTAGTCTAAGAAGATAATTTTTATATGTTCAAACATCTAGAAATAATTAGGCTGGGATTGTGGCTCAGTGGTAGAATGCTCACCTAACGAAACATCTAGAAATAAAAGTAAAAATTAAAAAAAAGAAAAAGAAAAGGGTATAAAAGTAGGATCAAGTTAAGGGGACAAATTTCCAAAGAAAACTGATTTTGTAGCCCAGATTCACCCAACCACAGAAGAATATAAGTGACCCAAAGTATTTTCTTTATGAACAGAAAGATGATGGGTGTAATTTGACCTTTCAGAGCTAGAAAAAAAAAATAAATATAAGGAGCCAATGTGGTGACTGCTTTTAATTTAATTTAAATTTTAATTTCTGGCATTCTCTCTATCTAGTTCTGAATAACTACACAGATCTTGAATTTGGCAAAAGATTCTTACACATGACCCCAAAAGCACAAGGAACAATAGAAAAGAATAGACAAACTGGACTTCATTAAAATTAAAATCTTTTGTGCTTCAAACGATACCACCAAGAAAGTCAAAATAGACAACCCCTCAAATGGAAGAAAACATTTGCAAATTGTATCTCATATAGGACTTATTCTAAATAATATAAAGAACTCTTATGACTCAGTAAGAAAAAGACAAATAATCTGATTTTTAAATTAACAAAGGATCTAAAAACATGTATCTAGAGAAGATATACAAAAGGCCAATAAGCACATGAAGAGATGTTCATTACCACTGGTCATTAGGGAAATGCAAATGAAAACCAAATGAATTACCATCTCAAACTCATTAGGATGGCTATAATCAAAAATAACAAGAAGTGTTGGCAAGGATGTGGAGGAATCCAAACTTTTACACACTGATGATGGGAAGACAAGATAGTTCTGTGCTACCGCTTTAGAAAACAGTTTAATTAGATTCCAATGATTTAAACAGAGTTCCCACATAACCTAGCAACTCCACTACAAGGTATATACCCAGAGAGATGAAAACATGGCCATACCAAACTCTGCATGTGGATGTTTATGCAGCATTATTTGTAACAGTCCCCAAATGGAAACAACCCAAATGTCCATTAACAGATAAAACATTCATACAATGGAGTTTTATTCAATCACTGAAGAAATAAATAATGCTGCCCAGTGAAAGAAGTCAGACCCAAAATACTATGGAATGTGATATGATTCCATTCACATGAAAGGCCAGAATAGGCAATCTATAGAGATAGAAGGTAAATTAGTAGTTGGTTAATGTTGGGGGAGAGGGGGAACAGAAGTGATGGCTAAAGGGTAAGAGTTTGTTGTTGTTTTTTTGTTTTGTTTTTAATATTTATTTATTTATTTATTTACAGAGTCATAAAAGGAAGTTTTTTTTTTTAAGAAAGATTAAATTGTTTAGTAAATGAATTATATCTCAATAAAGTTGTTTTAAAAAAGAATTTATAGCCATTTCAAAAAACACACTTGTTTACATTTTGGATCACACAGGAAATACACTACCTCTATCGTGTCTGGGAGGATGAAGTCTTCTGCTTGCTGCAAGGACACATGTAAGCTATGCTTTCCCTGGAGGCTGTCATTGTCTTTCTGTAACCTCAGCAGCTCTTCTGAAACTTGTTCCCGTGACTGCATCAGCACTGCCTGAAATAGAAATAGATACTAATCACAGCCAGAAAAGTAATTCTGGTCTAGTGATAGCCAGACCAGAGAAAAATAAGGCCAAACCCAATGAGATTTGAGAATGGAGGGGTAATAAAGCTCGGCAAAACTTAGAGCAACTCAAGAATTTTTTTTTCTGATTGCAGCTTTTGTATTCAACAAGGAGATGGGCAATGAGACAAAGAAGTAAGCTCATTCTTCCATATTTCTATCAATATTTCAAAAATAATGAGGTTTTCCCCCTGCCCCCATCTCTCTGGGCTATAGAAGACCACAATCTCCAGCTCAATGGAAGTTACCAATTGAATCAAGGCCTATATGGAGGTGCGTAGCAGAACAGGCCTATAATCCAAACTACTTGGGAGGCAGAAGCAGGAGAATCACAAGTTCAAGACTAGATATCTTAGCAATATTCTGTCTCAAAATAAAGAATAAAAAGGACTGAGAGCTGGACACAGTGGCGTATACCTGCAATCCCAGCAGCTTTGGGGGCTGAGGTAAGAGATTTAAGAGGTACTAAGCAACTTAGTGAGACCCTGTCTCAAATATTAAAAATCTGAAAAGGACTGGGAATGTGGCTCAGTGGTTAAGCACCTCTGGGTTCAATATCCAGGAAAAGGAAGAGAAGAAAGAGAAGAAAAAGACCGCATCAAATGGAGATGTCCTCTAAGACAACTCCTGTCCTTAGGGCATGTATTCAACAGGAAGTGTAGCAAAATAAAAAGCAGTGTCTTCCTCTTCCATTACATGCATGTCTGTTCAAATCTAGGATCACTGTGAATGTCCCAGCAGTCCCAATGCTGCAAGCCATCAAGAGGATCTAAGCTCAGTTAACATAGCCCTTGAGAAGCTCATTCTTAAAACAGAATATGCTTATATTCTTCCATTTGCTCAAGTGTAAAATAATTTTAGATATTTCATATTAATTTGTATAAATATAAGTTATTCTAGCTAATTTGAGTAGAAGTTATTATACTACAAAAGTATTTCATTTCTGCTAATTTTTAATACTAAGTCATTTGCCATAAGGGCATACATAATGTAGATTACTCACTCATCTAATATTTATTCAGCAGCTACTCTCTGTGGTAGATGTTTTTCTGCCCATAGGGAATGTAAAGACAAAAGAGAAAGAGAGAGACTTTGCTCTGAAAAAGCTAAAAGTCAAGTAGAGAAAGACAAGTATACCAAAGCAAGTGCTATAACAAAAACTATACTGAGCAATAAAAGGACAAAGGGGTACCTAATTAGGGGAAGGAAGAGGAGGTGATGAACGAGCTGCATTCTGAAGGACAAACAGGTTGCAGATAGGCAGTCAAAATCATACACAAATTTTGGTTAAGCTCCACCAGCTCTTATTTTGTTTTTTTTATTTTAAATATTTATTTTTTAGTTGTAGGTGGACACAATACCTTTATTTTATTTTTATGTGGTACTGAGGAATGAACCCAGTGCTTCACACATGCTAGGCAAGCACTCTTCCTCTGAGCCACAACCCCAGTCCTGGCTCTTATTTTCTTTAGGCTACAATCACCTGTGTTTTATGATCATTTTTCCATTCATTTATAACTAAATATTAGCATCCTACTACCTTTTGAGTATGAAAAAAATAAAAAGAAGAAAATGAGTGGTTTTTTTTCCTTCCTCTCTCCCTTTTATAAAAAAAAAATAGTTGTGTGTGGTTGGCATGTTTAAAAAAAAAATGGGGGCTGGAGATGTAGCTCTATGATTAAGCACCCTGGGTTCAATCCCCAGTACCAAAAAAAAAAAAAAAAAAAAATTAAAACAGAAGAATAAGTCAAACACAAAGTGAAATGATTATGTATGGAAGCAGATAAAAATTGGGTGAAAGGGGCTGGGGTTGTGGCTCAGCGGTAAAGTGCTCGCTCAGCACGTGCAAGGCCCTGGGTTTGATCCTCAGCACCACATTAAAAAAAAATAAAGGTATTGTGTCCAACTACAACTAAAAAATAAATATTAAAAAAATATTTTTTAAAAAAGAAATTGGG